CGAATAAGCATCCAGGCGGAGTTTGAAAAACGTCTGGACTTTTCATCCCGTCTTTCTAGAAATCGCTTCTACCTACACAACTGTATTTACTATTGGCCATGCCGTTAAAATAAACTCGTTGTTTGTCAAGGTCGGAAAGGTACTTTAGAAGTAATCATTGTTCTAACCAGGATAAACATCTTCGGAGCCATGCCAAGCACTGTTAAGTACTTTAATGCGGTGATTCCTGAAAGCGCAGGTTTCGGACACAGTGTATGGATCGCGCTGTGAACCCCTAACACTAGCAGAACCAATTGTTTGACGATAGCGTCTGCAAACACTAATAAGCGAGTTCCTCAAACCTCCAACAAGCTCGTCAGGTTGTCTTTGTTGCCTTTGGTTGTTGAAAGCATTTTATACTTTCGATACAAGTTAGATATAATTACTTGACTGCGTAGAATTCTATGAGCTTCTTATGGTTTGGAACGACGCATTGGTGTTTAATAATTACAGCACGTTTTGGTAATTTTATATTCACAATGTGTTAGGTCTCGTGGTAGAGAAGAGAAGTTAATGATTCTGGCAGATTTTTGGGTGTTCATTCAGTCAACTGATAGGAGTGTGGTACGTGCTACCAGGCGGATAGAGCACGCAACTGAAACCATGGATAAGACATACCTTTGAAGAGTAGATAACTTTAGGAAGTCGAGATAGGCGAACGAACTTTTTCGATTAATTCACCATCAGGCATGTACAATAATATAAAGGGGTAGAGTTAGCAAAAGTTTAAGCAACCATCAGCGGTAATTAAGGGGAGGGGGAATTGTTAAGAGATCAAAGAGGGGCCGAGGGCAGGGGGGACGTGTCCTACAATTAGTTCATATCAACCGGTCATCTCCTCGTCGCTTCGCGGCGTCTTGACACCAGTTGTCACTGTCTGCTCATCGTCTCGCGGCATGATAGAAGGTGTGCGGACGGATGTTGAAATTGTTCTCGGCTCTGATAGACAACTGTAGATAACTTATCATCCCCCACAAAACCGGTTGGTCTACTGATGGGAAAATCGAATCCATGAATGTATACAACGGTGAACTAATGTATAATCCTGTCCTTGAAATATAAGCTGGGGGTCGGAGTTACGCCGCCCTTGAGCGTAAAGTTTTTGAACTTCTCATTTTTGTCTTTCTATTCTCTAAATAGTACTCTTCGGAGATAAAATTCACGCTCCGAGACACAGCGCGATAATTTCGTTGAGTGTGTCCGTGTGCAAGTTTATGCACTCACTGCGTCTTCCATTTCGATACTTAATTTAATACAAAGAGAGCGCTTATTACCGTTTAGACATTGTAAACGGGAATTAGAAAAGTTAATGATAGAAATGCGTGGGGAAGAGGTTTAGCTCAGTACTATTTCATTGTCAGGTAAGAGAAGGCGAGGTTGTCCACTTTGACTTTGACGCACGGTCAACATACAGTCCAGGTAGAGGTTCTGTTGATCAGATATTCAGTCTACGCCGCATACTGGAGCACAGATAACAGAATCAGCAGATTACCACAGCCTGCTTCATCGACTTCAAGACCGCCTTTGATTCCATAGACAGAGAAGCCTTATGGCCAATCTTGCTTGCTAATGGTCTCCCAATAAAGTTACTCAATCTGATCAAAGCCTACTATAGCAAAATATCAGCCTGAGTAAGAGGCCTTGATGAAGAGTCAGATTCCTTCCCTCTGACTTGCCGAGTTCGATAAGGATGCCCTTTTTACCCAGTTTTCTTCAACTTCTTGATCGACTGGGTGATGCATAAATCGATTCTACTTGACAGTGAATGTGAAGTGAGCCCTGAATTCAGAGTACCTGACCTGGAGTATGTCGATGACATTGTCGTATTTGGTAATACCCCTCAGTCACTACAGCCAATGCTAGAGCGAATCATCAACTTCGCTGCAACTATTGGTCTGACGATTAATATACGCAAGACGAAGTTCCTGACTGCGCATCTTTGCACAGCGCAACCACCGTTTATCAGCGGCCAACCCATCGAAGAAGTTAGCTGCTTCCGCTATTTGAGCTCGAATATGCTAGCCAACAGACGAGGCAATGAAGAAATCAAGAACCGAATCGCGCAGGCTCGAAATGCATTTATGCTGCTAGTCCGACCAGTCTGGCCTCGCTCAGACATCAGCTTACGTACGAAGCTGCTGATATATAGAGCATCAATCAGACCGGTGTTAGTATATGCTTGCGAAACATGGCCTATCAGAAAGGC